GTGTGTGTGTGTGTGTGTGTGTGTGTGTGTGTGTGTGTGTCCTTCTATTAGAGTGTATAAGTGCCACCTCAGCTTGTGTAGCCCTTCACCTGCGAACAGAGAGCCCCTCCATCACAGGTGAGGCCATACAAAGCTTCGGTTGGGACTGTCAGCTGCTGCCATCCAGCACAAAGCGGGTTAACTTCAGCTGTGGCTCTGCACCCTGACAGGCCGCGACTGCTGGTCACTTATCTTTTTAATTAGCTTTTCCCTCTCCCTCTCCTCCCTCCCTATACCACCGCTTTTCCCTCTCACTGTCACTAATTCTGAGCAGACTTTCATGAAACAGTTTTTTCTCCTTTTGCAGTCTCATCATATACCGTGAAAACACTTGAGGCCTCGGCATGGTCCAGCCGAACCTGCAAATTCCGTTCTCGTTGACTTAGTTGTGTGAAGAAAATCACATCATTTTCTTCTCAGCCTCATGTCACCCACCCCATCTTATAACCAGGCCCGAGCCGATCTTTTCTCGTTCCTTCGCACATCAAATTATTGCATCAGAAGTTTGTGTGTTTGTTTATGGTAAAAAGCGCTCTGAAAACAATGGTGGCGTTTTGCTTCATCTGCTCTGCAACCGGAATCTGACTGTTGTACCCTTAAGCAGACACTTATAAAGGTGGTCAAATGGTCACACATGGATGGAGGTAACACAGACATTGTGCACTAAGGAATCTGTCTGCCAAAAGGTGTGACCCTTAAACCTTGACAGACTTGTGGTCAAAGTAATGATGAATATAGGAGTGGTAACTCCAGCAAGAAGGAACCCTACACTAAGATGTGTACATCAGTAGGAGGGCTTTCCCAGGAGTTTTACACCATGTCTCTTGGGCTATGAAAGGTGTGTGGGAAAACAAACCTCCTGCCACAACGCGACTCTTCTTCGACTAGTGGGCCACCAATTAATTATGCTGGGTCCTTTATCATGATAAGAGGCAACTATTAAAATATTGGCACAATTGTCCATTCTAGTTGAAAGTTGGTAAACTTTTCAAGTCAATACTGCTCTGATACTCAATCATTCTGATTTTGTAAAGAACATGCATTTGTACAGTGGAAATTTGGAAATTAACATGTCTTTCAGTCTACTGTATGAAGGCTATAATCAAGGCAGAACAAGAGAAGGCCCTCGTCACTTTAGCTACAGAAGCTAGGCTCCACTATATCAGACAGGACTCAAGATGCATACTGAAGAATGATGTCCCCGAGACAGTCCAACACATCATAGCAGGATGTGAGATGCAGACGGGTGAAGTGTACAAGTAACGTTATAACCATAAAGCTGGAATGGGTGTACAAGAACTTCTGAGCTGAATATGAATG